CTCAGGGTAGCGTTAGCAGCCTCTGGATGTTGTCTTGACAGACACAGCTCTCAGGGTAGCGTTAGCAGCCTCTGGATGTTGTCTTGACAGACACAGCTCTCAGGGTAGCGTTAGCAGCAGCATCTACTGTGGTAGGCAGTGGCACACAATTAAGAGGAAAATAGTGTTTGACTCTCTCTTCGTATATAATTTGAGGGGAAAAGAAAATGGAAAAATGAGTCTTTTGGGAACAGCGGATGAGTCCTACATGCCAATCAAAGCTATAACTCCATTTCCAGATTCCTGTGCTCCTGTCCAGTGGCCAGTAATTCACAGTAGTGTATTCAGTGCAGTCAGTCTCTTCTGCTCTGTCCTCATACTGGGGATATTCGCTGAATCAAAGAGGCCTTTCACGTTGACCTTGACACACCGCCACCCACAACACCACAGGAACCAGAGGAGAGGAATACTGCCACCCACAACACCACAGGAACCAGAGGAGAGGGATACTGCCACCCTCAACACCACAGGAACCAGAGGAGAGGGATACTGCCACCCTCAACACCACAGGAACCAGAGGAGAGGGATACTGCCACCAACAACACCACAGGAACCAGAGGAGAGGAATACTGCCACCCCCAACACCACAGGAACCAGAGGAGAGGGATACTGCCACCCTCAACACCACAGGAACCAGGGGAGAGGAATACTGCCACCCACAACACCACAGGAACCAGAGGAGAGGAATACTGCCACCCTCAACACCAAAGGAACCAGGGGAGAGGAATACTGCCATCCCCAACACCACAGGAACCAGAGGAGAGGACAGGAATACAGCCACCCACAAAACCACAGGAACCAGAGGAGAGGAATACTGCCACCCACAACACCACAGGAACCAGGGGAGAGGAATACTGCCACCCCCAACACCACAGGAACCAGAGGAGAGGGATACTGCCACCCTCAACACCACAGGAACCAGGGGAGAGGAATACTGCCACCCACAACACCACAGGAACCAGAGGAGAGGAATACTGCCACCCCCAACACCACAGGAACCAGGGGAGAGGAATACTGCCACCCACAACACCACAGGAACCAGAGGAGAGGAATACTGCCACCCTCAACACCACAGGAACCAGAGGAGAGGAATAATGCCACCCTCAACACCACAGGAACCAGAGGAGAAGGATACTGCCACCCTCAACACCACAGGAGCCAGAGGAGAGGGATACTGCCACCCCCAACACCACAGGAACCAGAGGAGAGGAATACTGCCACCCTCAACACCACAGGAACCAGAGGAGAGGAATACTGCCACCCTCAACACCACAGGAACCAGAGGAGAGGAATACTGCCACCCTCAACACCACAGGAACCAGAGGAGAGGAATACTACCACCCTCAACACCACAGGAACCAGAGGAGAGGGATACTGCCACCCTCAACACCACAGGAGCCAGAGGAGAGGGATACTGCCACTCCCAACACCACAGGAACCAGAGGAGAGGAATACTGCCACCCTCAAAACCACAGGAACCGGAGGAGAGGAATACTGCCACCCTCAACACCACAGGAACCAGAGGATAGGAATACTGCCACCCTCAACACCACAGGAACCAGAGGAGAGGAATACTGCCACCCTCAACACCACAGGAACCAGAGGAGAGGAATACTGCCACCCTCAACACCACAGGAACCAGAGGAGAAGAATATAATACACCCAACTCTCTCTCTCTCTCTCTCTCTCTGTCTCTCTGTCTCTCTCTGTCTCTCTCTCCCTCTCATTCCAACCAGTGATATTAATCTCCCCCAGACTGACCAGTCTCTCCCAGCCACAGTCTGACATGAAACCTGGAAATAGAGATAATGTTTCATATGGGAGGGGTAGGGGGCATCTGTTCAAACCAGAAGACTGGAGCTACAGTTAGTTAGAAGATATAGGGGCTCAATTCAAACCGTATCACTGAAGCGTTACAGATTGCGCGATCGAAATGTAAAGGTAATTTCCGATTGAGCCGACATATGCAGCATTTACAGTTTCCGCTAATGCGGGAACATTTCGTTTAAATTTCAATCACGCTGTAACAGTGAACTTCAGTGATGCAAAGACACTGACCTTCATTGTGAGTAGAAATTGAACTCTGCACCACCCTGCAAGGTGAGGAGACTAAATATTCCTAATAGGAACAATGAAAGTCTTCAATAGGAAATGGCCATGAACACTGAAGTCTGTCTGTGGGCGTTCTAGGTTGGTTTTGTCCTTGGCGATTTGGTTTGTGTAAATATAGTCACTTCACACAACACAAACACGGTGGTCCAGGGAATAAAAACGTTTAATCACTGGAGAAAAATAAATACATAACCTTTTTATAATTCAACAGCCTAAGGACATAATACCTTGCATTTCGATATTTTCAGTAAAATAAAAATAAAAAAGCAGAATTTAAATGTATACATTTCTTTCATAAGAAACATATATCTTCAAAACTGTACATCAAGCATTTCACAAAGCAGTTGGATCCTCCGTTTCAGAAATGCTCATCTTTCACATTTTCTACACATTAGTTCCAAAGAGGGTCTGCTACATTAGAAACCTCACATCATCTGACAGTTGATGTACTTCTCAGAGAATAGAAGTCTTAGAACATTCCAATGGAACAGTCTTAGAACATTCTAGAACAGTCTTAGAACATTCCACAACAACAACAACGTTGGCGTTGAGAAATTAGTCCAACAGTCACAGTGCTGCTTGGCAACATTCAGGAGCTCCAGAGCAGGAAGACAGTAGAAGGAGAAGGTATCTGTGTCTGCGGCAGACCTTCTGTCCATCTGTCTATCTGCACCCCTCTGTGGAGAGAGAAGAAGGGATGAGCCACAGGCCAAAAGAAAGACAGACAGCTATAGTATACCATGTCCAGTAAGAGTGAAAATGGATGCCTTTACTCTTTTATGTCATACAACAGTTACTGTCACAGACTCGCTATCAACTCTAGCACTTTCTCTACCACTTTACGGCTTCAACTACCTCAGTAACAGACACACACAAGGCCAGTCATTGAAGGCACCAGGCGCGTGGTCGACACACACATACAGGAAGTGGGCTGTGGCCCGCAGGGAGGCATGTGCTGTAATTAACTTCATGTTTCCCAGATGGTTGTTTATTTACCCAGCAGCCCCAGCAGGCAGGCAGAACAGGAGTATAACAGGCAGCCCATGCAGGCAGGCCAACAGGCAGGCAGCAGAACGGGAGTCTCCTGTCATGGACTATGACTTTTACACCAAACAGAGCGCACCTGGTCCTGACTGACTGCCTGACTGTCGGCCTGAGGTACAGGACAGGGGCTACTCAATAAACAGGCCTGGTGCTGGGAGGGGATGTGTGGGGGAGGTGCGGGGAGGACGGGGTGGCAGGGGGAGGATGGGAGAGGTGGCTGCCCCAGGAGGCACCTCTCAGAGGCTACAGAGACCACCCCCAACACACCCTGCCTGACACTCCAGATGAGGCAAGGCAAAGCTGCTACATCTCTGACCTGGGCTGGCTACACATGGTGTCTTTCTACAGGGCTCACTGGGAACAGAGGTAACTATGTTTGCAATGGTGACCTCATGTTCACATGGCTAAAGTTGTACTAAGTAGTCTGGACAAATAACAAAAACACAGGACAGTTCTATCACCTTGACATTTAATGCATCTCCCAGATATCGTATCGCTGCTTTACAACATTTGCGTCCATGAAGGGGCCTCAGTCATTCCTTTGGGGCACAACAAGAGCCTTTTACCCAGTAAGTGACTTGATCTAAAGGTTAATTCCACGGTAACGGAATTTAACTGAGACTCAGATTTTTCACTTCAAATGTATGCCAAACAAAAATATTTTATTTTCAATGTTCAACAAACTATACAACTCTATGCACAAGGACTACTTTTAACAATTTACGTCTGAAGGTAACCCGGAACCGGTTAAAAAAATGAATGGAAGTATGGAAGTAGTTTTGTGCCAAAATTAAAAAGGGGTTTAAAGGCGCACTACGCAGACAGAAATCACTCCGCCAATTACTGGTTGCAAACATTCTAATAGTTCGCCTAATTTCAGTTTGTGACAAAACTTGCATGTATAGTGTAGAGAATCATTGTACCAACCAAACAGCTCTGAAATATCATTTCCATAACCCCCAAATATTGTATTTTCAGCTGTTTGAAGCTGGTGTACAAAACCGAAAGTAAAACACGCAAAAAACAAACTTAAGAACTGGAAGCATAGAAATAGCGCACATAGAACAGATCTACTTCTTACACTTGCTTTCAATGACAATGACAGATCTATAACTACATTTTTATGTGAATTTGGTCAGGTCGCCCAAAAAGTTACATATTGCAGCTTTAACTATGTGTAGAAATAAAAATAAAAATAAATCCTGAGCTTTCCTAGCTATAGCTTAAATATAGACACTGAAATCGTATTCCTCATTATTCCTTTTTTGACTGTCTGTTTTGCCATTTATGAATGTGTTATTCAATTCGTTTCTATGGGCTATAGCAGTAAAGGCCAAATTAAATAATTTGTCTATATCTTTTTTTGGATACCTACAGGGGTCTTACATTTAAAAAATCAAATAGCTAAATGATCCTACCCCCCAAAGGCTTAGACTTTTAGGGGTTAAAGGTAATTTCCTACTGAGCCAACATATGCAGCATTTACCGTTAATGCAGTCTCCGCTAACTCTGGAACATTGTGTTTAAATTTCTAATCACACTTAACGCTGAACTTCAGCGAAACAGATTGAATCCAGCCGCTAACGTGATCAGGGTCTACTACTTTTCAGTGATCTAACCTCTACTCATGCAAAGACACTGACCTTCATTGTGAGGAGAAATTGAACTCTGCACCACCCTGCAAGGTGAGGAGACTAAATATTACTAATAGGAACAATGAAAGTCTTCAATAGGAAATGGCCATGGACACTGAAGTCTGTCTGTGGGCGTTCTAGGTTGGTTTTGTCCTTGGTGATTTGGTTTGTTTAAATATATTTTCATTTCACACACACACAAAACGTGCGCACACACACACACACAACGCGATGTTCCAAGGAATACAACTTTTAATAAAAAAAAAGAAGAAGAAAAAAGAAAAAAAAGGGTTTTATAATTCAACAGCCTGAGGACATAATAAAGGCTGTAAATTGCACTTCTACATTTAAAAAACAAAATAAATCACAAATAAAAAGCAGGCTTTAAATGTATACATTTCTTTCATAAGAAACATCTTCAAAACTGTACATCAAGCTTTTCACAAAGCAGTTGGATCCTCTGTTTCAGAAATCTTCATCTTGCACATTTTATCCACAACATTTTATACACATTAGTTCCAAAGAGGGTCTGCTACATTAGAAACCTCACATCATCTGACAGTTGATGTACTTCTCAGAGAATAGAAGTCTTAGAACATTCCAATGGAACAGTCTTAGAACATTCTAGAACAGTCTTAGAACATTCCACAACAACAACAACGTTGGCGTTGAGAAATTGGTCCAACAGTCACAGTGCTGCTTGGCAACATTCAGGAGCTCCAGAGCAGGAAGACCGTAGAAGGAGAAGGTATCTGTGTGTCTGCAGCAGACTGTCTGTCCATCTGTCTGTCTGCGCCCCTCTCAGTTAGTGTCCACATTAGGCTCAGACCTGGGTCTGCTGTCCATTCAGGAAGCGGCCTGTTGTTGTGGGTGTGGCCAGGTAGCTCTCTGACCTTCAGTTTGTGTTTGGTGGTGTTTCCAGGCCAGGTAGCTCCCTGACCCTCAGTCTGTGTCCACATGACAGGGGTTAGTCCCACTCTGCTCTGCCACCCTGGTACAGTCTGAGGAAGTCCTTGTATCTCGGGGCACACCCCATCCAGGCCTCCCCGAACCTTACGCTCCCCGTGAACAGGAAGTCTCCATCCCCCTTCCCTGGGCCGGGCCTCACCCCACACTGCCTGGGCATCCTCACCCTGCCTGTCCACCTCCTCACTCTCACCCCCCCTGACACAAACACCTGAGTCTTCTGTCTGTACAGGCGGCTTATTGCCACGGTGACCGACAACTGCTCCGCCTCCTGCTCCACCCCCTGGATGGTGCCCCTCCCCACTGCAGAGAGGAAGACAGGAGAGCGTTGATAGATGTTAGAGTACTACAGTACAGTATAAAGTAGAACAAATACTACAACAGTAAAATACAAACAATGCCATAAACACAACAGTAACACTTCACATTTAAAGGTCCATAATATAACTTTGTGGGCGACCCGACCAAATGCACATATAAAATGTGAGTTATAGATCTGTCATTCTCATTGAAAGCAAGTGAAATAAGCGGTAGATCAGTTAGCAACCAGGACATTTTGACATATTGTACCTTTAATAACTATACCTAAAATAATGTATAAAGGGTTTCTAAATAGTTCTTACCAAAGTCGCTGGTGCAGACGGCTAACAGCACCTCAGCATCACTGCAGGGCTGACAGGGGGCTGTGGAGAGAGAAGAGAGAAGAGATGAGCTACTGGACAAAAGAAAGAAAGAAAGAAAGAAAGAAAGAAAGAAAGAAAGAAAGAAAGAAAGAAAGAAAGAAAGAAAGAAAGAAAGAAAGAAAGAAAGAAAGAAAGAAAGAAAGAAAGAAAGAAAGAAAGAAAGAAAGAAAGAAAGAAAGAAAGAAAGAGCGAGAGAGGAGATGAGCTACAGGACAAAAGACAGACAGAGAGTTCTACCAGGGATCAAAGTGAGGCCTTCATTATTTAAGGTCAGACAACCCTATCAACTCTAGCACTTCAACGATTTAAAGAACAGTCACAAAGCAGGTCATTGAAGACACGTGCCGCACACACACACAGGAAGTGGGCTGTGGCCCGTAGGGATGCATGTGCTGTAATTAATTTCAGCTCTCCCAGATGGTTGCTTATTTACCCAGCAGCCCAGGCAGAACAGGCAGGCCAACAGGCAGGCAGCAGGACGGGAGTCTCCTGTCATGGACTATGACTTTTACACCAAACAGAGCGGACCTGGTCCTGACTGACTGACTGTCTCTCTGTCGGCCTGAGATACAGGACAGGGGCTACTCATTAAACAGGCCTGGTGCTGGGAGGGGATGTGTGGGGGAGGTGCGGGGAGGACGGGGTGGCAGGGGGGGGGTGAGGGTTGGACGGGGTGTGAGAGGAAGGATGGGGGAGGTGAGGGGAGGACAGGTGTGAGGAGGAGGATGGGGGAGGTGAGGGGAGGACGGGGTGTGAGGGAGAGGATGGGGGAGGTGAGGGGAGGACGGGGTGTGAGGGTGAGGATGGGGGAGGTGGATGCCCCAGGAGGCACCTCTCAGAGGCTACAGAGACCACCCCCAACACACCCTGCCTGACACTCCAGATGAGGCAAGGCAAAGCTGCTACATCTCTGACCTGGGCTGGCTGCACATGGTGTCTTTCTACAAGGCTCACTGGGAACAGAGGTAACTATGTTTGCAATGGTGACCTCGTGTTCACATGGTTATAGGCCTGGTTTTGACCTCATGTAAACCTGGTTATAGGCCTGGTTTTGAGCTCATGTAAACATGGTTATAGGCCTAGTTTTGACCTCATGTAAACATGGTTATAGGCCTGGTTTTGACCTCGTGTAAACATGGTTATAGGCCTAGTTTTGACCTCATGTAAACATGGTTATAGGCCTAGTTTTGACCTCATGTAAACATGGTTATAGGCCTGGTTTTGACCTCATGTAAACATGGTTATACACCTGGTTTTGACCTCATGTAAACATGGTTATAGGCCTGGTTTTGACCTCGTGTAAACATGGTTATAGGCCGGTTTTGAACTCGTGTAAACATGGTTATAGGCCTGGTTTTGACCTCGTGTAAACATGGTTATAGGCCTGGTTTTGACCTCATGTAAACATGGTTATAGGCCTGGTTTTGACCTCGTGTAAACATGGTTATAGGCCTGATTTTGACCTCATGTTGACATGGTTATGAAACCCCCAGTCCCTGGTCATATAGTGAAACCCCCAGTCTTAGGGCTATACTACAGGTCACATACACCCAGCCACTCTCCTCTACCCTCCTCCTGGAATCTATCTCTGTCTCTAGTGAGGTCTTTATGACAGAGGAAAGGTCTCTAAATCATCCCAGTCTGCAGTCTCTAGTGAGGTCTTTATGACAGAGGAAAGGTCTCTAAATCATCCCAGTCTGCAGTCTCTAGTGAGGTCTTTATGACAGAGGAAAGGTCTCTAAATCATCCCAGTCTGGATTCTCTAGTGACAGAGAAAGTCTTCATTAGGTCTTATAAAACACTGTGGCTAAAGGGTCAGCCCCACAGAGAAAGTCTTCATTAGGTCTTATAAAACACTGTGGCTAGAGGGTCAGCCCCACAGAGAAAGTTGGGGGGTTGAGGAGGGGTTGAGGGGAGGATAGGGGGGGTTGAGGAGGTGTTGAGGGGAGGGTGAGGAGGGGTTGAGGGAAGGGTGAGGAGGGGTTGAGGGGGGGTTGAGGGGAGGGTGAGGAGGGGTTGAGGGGAGGGTGAGGAGGGAAGTGTGAGGAGGGGTTGATGAGTGCAAGTCCCAGGTCAGCTGGTGTTGTAAACACATGGCGCTGCGCACAACCAACAGAGGTCAGAAGTTGGGGGTCAGGGGTTACCCAGCCACAGGCTCAGGGGCTTAGGAACAGCTGGAGAGGAGGGTGACATCAGAGTAGCCGACCGAACGAATGACTGCCCCCCTCGCCCCCAGTGCAACGAGTAGGGAGCAGGGCCTTTGATGAGAGGGTTGGGGCTGCCGCCATAGCTTCAGAGAACCTCTAGGACATGGCGTACCACAGGCTCCAAACCTTAACCCTGTTCTGAGTCCCAAACAGTACCCTATTCCCTTTATAGTGCACTACTTTAGACCAGGGCCCGTAGGGGATAGGGTGCTATTCGCGAGGCAGCCACGTTTTTTCCAGCTAGCTGCTCTCCTCCCTCTATCTCTTTCTCTGGTCTCTCTCTCTCCCTCTCTCTCTCTGGTCTCTCTCTGGTCTCTCTCTCTCTCTGGTCACACTCTCTCTGGTCTCTCTCTCTCTCTGGTCACACTCTCTCCCTCTCTGGTCTCCCTCTCTCTCTCTGGTCTCTCTCTCTCTCTCTGGTCTCACTCTCTCTCTGGTCACACTCTCTCTCTGGTCACACTCTCTCTCTGGTCTCTCTCTCTCTCTGGTCTCTCTCTCTCTCTGGTCTCTCTGGTCTCTCCCTCTCTCTCTCTCTCTGGTCTCCCTCTCTCTCTCTGGTCTCTCCCTCTCTCTCTCTCTCTGGTCTCTCCCTCTCTCTCTCTGGTCTCCCTCTCTCTCTCTGGTCTCCCTCTCTCTCTCTGGTCTCCCTCTCTCTCTCTGGTCTCCCTCTCTCTCTCTGGTCTCCCTCTCTCTCTCTGGTCTCCCTCTCTCTCTCTCTCTTTCTCTCTCTGGTCTCCCTCTCTCTCTCTCTCTCTCTGGTCTCGGTCTCTCTCTGGTCTCGGTCTCTCTCTGGTCTCGGTCTCTCTCTGGTCTCGGTCTCTCTCTGGTCTCGGTCTCTCTCTCTGGTCTTGCTCTCTCTCTCTCTGGTTTCACTCTCTCCCTCTCTGGTCTCGCACTCTGGTCAGGGCTCACATGTCAGACATGAAACGTTGCCACAGGAATGGCCTGGCATGATCTGAGTTGGAGTCATCTTTCTCTACCCAAACACACTGCACTGCTCCCATCACAACCACTTCACAGAGAGGGGATGGAGGGATGGGAGGAGAGGTGGAGGGAAGGAAAGGGGGAGATGGTGTCCCCAGCTGCAACATCTGGTACCAGATGCATTCCCCTCTAATGGAGTGCAGCGCAGCAATACCACCCTTCTCTGATGACAACCACTTCAGAAGGACAGAGGAAGAGAGGGAAGACAGGACAGATGAAGGGAAGAGGAATGAAAGAGAAGAGTAGACAGAGGGAGAAATATAGATGTAGGAAAGAGAGAGAGAGAGAGAGAGAGAGAGAGAGAGGAGGCAGAGAGAGAGGAGGCAGAGAGAGAGGAGGCAGAGAGAGAGAGAGAGAGAGGAGGCAGAGAGAGAGAGAAATAAAGGTCTTCTCTCAACATCTGGTGTGAGATACATTCCAGGGAGATGGATGAGAGAGCAACTCAATCCCAGCACAGCAGGTCTGACAGAGAGAACTAGAAAGAAGTGGAGAAAAACATACAGGGAGAGAGAGAGGGAGAGAGAAAGGGAGAGGGAGAGAGAGAGAGGGAGAGAGAGAAAACAGAGCCAAACAAGTGCACTCAGATCACCAAGCCCTCTAGACCCTGCTGCCGAGTCAACGACACAAGACCCAGGGCTCCCTCCCTCCCTCTCCCCCTGGGCTAGGGACCTGCCGCCACATCACACCACAAGCTCATACCACAGAAGCACAGAGCGCAGGAAACCAAGCCGGTCAAAACAACCCTGAGCCTTAGGCTACTACATTAGAACCTGGACCCAGCAGCACTACATTATGCCCAACCTGAGCCAACTACACTAGCTACAACCTGGCCAAAACAACCATTACACCCCTATGTTAGATCACCTTCATTAAGCCCAACCTGAGCTAACTACACTAGCTACAACCATTACACCACTATGTTAGATCTTCTACATTAGGTCCTGACTGTTTATCAGTCTCTCTATCTCATCATTGTGCCAGCTGATTATGCAGGATATGAACACGTGACCCCAGAAAGAGGTAGAAACAGATGTAACTCCTATTACTCATTTAGTGGAAGAAAAACACAGTGTCTCTGGTCTGGATCTCTTCGCAGACAGGAGTCATGCAGGGTTGGCAGGTACACAGCATGATGAAAACACGGCTCTGTTTTTAGAGTGAGGCCCTCTCCGTTTCACTGTAGCCCTCCATACAGACAGACCAGGGTACTGTCAGCTATGAAACACTCCCCAAGTCAACTCAGTCCCATGGGTACACCAGTTCATAAGACTAACTTGTGGGAAGGTAACTGTGAAATATCAACATAGAATTGTCAGTGTAACATAATATTACAAAAACAACACTGAGATTCAGACTTTCTTCAGTAGAAAGAGAAATAAACTGAAAATTGAATATCAAAAATAATTTGGAATTGTTTTTTCTTATAAATACAGATCTGCAAACTGAGACGTTTTCACCAGCAGATGGCTGCATTTAGTACAGAGCTATGTCATGACTACAGACACCGAGACAAAGGAAACTATTTCATAGTGAGTCAATCAAAAAAACTGTCAGCTGAATGCCCAGTTGACTTTCTCTGATCTACCTCAGTCTGGATAACTCAACTGGAACAGTAAGGATACTGTTCAGGCCTCATGACATTGATACAAAACTCAAAGGGATAGGTCACCAAAATGACATCATTAGTTAGATGGTTCCTTTCCTTGAATGTAGTCTCTGGGCCAATCAGGAGAGTCTGTAATCCACTGTTAGGATTCCTCTATTTAGCCATTTTCACCAACTTTAGCATTAAAAGGGGATGTTCAGGATTTTACAACTTGATGTTAGAAGGTTCCTCACCTTGAAAGTAGTGTAATGGGCCAGGAGAAACTATAATCTATGGTTCAGTTGTCTGCCATCAGCCACTACAAACTTCAGTTGACTTTAGCCACAGAGTTTCTAAACCCAGAGCCGCAACATCGCAAGACTTCGGGGCATGCTTGTGAAACAGACCGACCAGACCAGGCCGGGGTTTGGGGTATGAGAAGTCAATGAGAGAGGTGAATAATTATTTATTTTCTCTAAATCTAAAAACGCACAACCTAGATTCGAGACAATGTCTTAAATAGTTGAATATGTTATTACAAACTGACACGCTTTCATTTGTCAAAAACAACTTTATATGGAAAGAGTGCCTTTGATTTGACGGCCTGCACATGCACAGTTCGGCGCGAAGCGACCGTTAGACGTGAGCTTTGATAGCCAACGTCACCATGACATCGCCTACAATTGTGAACGGGAATTTCTACTGGAGAAGCAGTTTTAGCCTGTCTTCATACTGTACTGTCTTTACTTTAGCCATAGTGAACTTCCCCTTTAATGACCAAAGCAACAACAATAGGAGTGTATCTTACCGGACAGTGCATGTGGCTCCACCCCAGCCAAGGCTCCACCTCCGGTCCTCTCTGTCACCAGCTCATACTGAAACGAGGTGATCCTCTTACTGATGTCTCTGTGAGGTATGGCCTCTATGAACATAGCCCCTTCCTGGATGCTGAAGCAGGTCACCTTCCCCTGGGCCTGGTCCTGCTCCCTCAGCAGCAGACGCAGCTTCCCGGCCCGGTCCAGGTAGATGTTAGCCCCGTGGGAGTCCCTGGAGGGCTTGACGCAGACGGAGAGACGGGCGGCTGCCGGGGACTGGGTGTTGGGCCGCAGGTTGACGATGATGGCCCCTGTAGGGTAGAGCCAGTCGAGGGAACCCTGGGAACAACGCAGGTAGACCTGCTCCACATCACGGGTGTGGCCCTCATGGGTTAGACCACTGGGAGGGGGGGAGAAAGGTAAGGAAGAGGTCAACAACACATCATGGACAGAGTCATGGACACACTCCTAACACACTTTTGATAGGTGTGAAATAATTAGAAATAATTATATATATTTGGTCTGGAGAAAAACATGGTGTTTTGGGTGAGAAATGCCAACCATGAACCATTGTCTGTGACTGCCTGTCCAACAGTCTGAACGTGTCTGTATGAATATAGAACAGAGAATAAGCTAATCAGTGGTTCACCAGCCAAGAACCAAGCCCGAAAAAAAAAAATAGGCCTATAACTTGGCAAAAGAACAGAAAATGTCAGCTTTCTTCTCGTAACCTTTTCTGAAATACAGTGCCGCTTCAAAGAGAAATATCAGCGCTTCGCGTGATCATGAGAGTCAGTTCTGCCTCTGATCATACTCAACAGGCAGACTACAGACTGCAGCTCTGTGCCAAGAAGAAGCCTGTTTCAATGGACCCTTATTTCCTATACAGGGCTCTGGTCAAAAGTAGTGCACTATATTGGAAATAGGCAAAGTGTGTGTGTGTAGCTGTGTGTTGCCTGGCGGTGGTTTAATATCCTTAGACAAAGTGTTAAGGCTCCTGCGGCTCCGTGCTGCACACGGCCGGCAGCATGACCAGTCACGAGCCGCCCTGCCTCCACGCGGCTCAACTGACCTCAACCCCAACGTCTTATGGCACATCGTTCCTTCTGGGCTCACTGCTCTGGCAACACATTACCGACTGCCTGGCAGGCTGCGGCAGGGTCGGAGAGGGGGGGGGGGGGGAGACAGAGTCTAGAGACAGAAGTGGATGAATGAACAGGAGCGGGACACAGACTCACAGAGGCTGCATCCCAAATTGCACCCTATTCCCTATATAGCGCCATAGGCCCTGGTCAAAGGTATTTTACTGTATAGGGAATAACATGCCATTTGGGACACAGCCTCACAGAGGCTTCTGCTGCACCGCGAACACACAGTGGAGTCGACTTAGACAACCAACGACAGCAACAGTAACCAGGCTGCCAGGAGCCTCTGCTGAATGCAAGAGCAAAATGCAGGTCAATCACCCAAACCTCCCCTTGCTGCCGGGACAAAAGGACTGGAAGAGACATGTCCGGGCAGCACTCTGGACAGAACCCCCGGCGCCAGACAGACAGCACCACCGAACCACTTACTCCATACACACACTGACAGGCCGAGTGTCCCAAATGGCACCCTATTCCCTATGTAGTGCACTACTTTTGACCAGGGCCCATAGGACACTGTAGGGAATAGGGTGCCATTTGGGATGCAAACAGAGAACTTAATGCATCATCTGAAGTCCTAGACTAGGGCCCAAGTCTGTCATTCGTAGCAAAGCCAAGCTATAGAGGCCTATAGGCTGGAAACTAGCAGCAGACTTCTATTACCATATGGATGCCATGCCAACAGCAACATGCTGGTGGTTAGGATGTTTTTTGGAAGGAATGACCCAATTTAAAAATGAAAATGAAATGGTGAAATATGAATAAGGCCCATTGATGTGAGGACCAGAGGAGAGCACATGTTGGTCATCATAACCCAACCAGCCTTTCCACTCCTCACCACATTCTCTTTAATTAACTCAGTTCAACTCCTCCTCCACCATCTCTCCATCTCTAGTCTGCATGCAATTAGAAGAGATTAGCTAAAAGGAGAGCTAACGAGCAACAGATTCATTGGTACAGGCTCAGAGTAACTGCTTAGTAAGACTACTCCTCGGCTGGCTTGGAAGAGGAAACATTACCACTTTCTCTTCCTGGCACTGCAGCTCACCAAATTGGACACTCACCCAATTGGACATTCACCCAATTTCACCCACTAGATTGTCTGTAATAGATGATTGATGATGAAAAGTAGTGTTTTTACCTGTGTAACATCACCATATCATCAGCAGTAATTTAATATCTACATAGAGCATATTAGAGGCATTCATGAAGTGTCAAACTTCAAGAGGTGTCAGTCAAGTACTAAAGCCTCTTACTATATCAATATTTAAGCCATGGTGCTGCTTCTAAAAAGTCAGACTATACATTTTATAAAACAAGTGTAGGTAGGGAAGTAAGAACCAAAAGGGCAAAGTGGCCTTGAGATGTAGAAAATTATACAAGGTAGCCTGTTATTGACGTTGTGAGGAGCCACCTCAAACTGTACTTTTACTGCTGTAGGGTAGCTAGGCCATCATGTCCTCTAATCAGTGTGTTTTTTCATGAATCAATGTATGCGTTTCCATTTTGAACATTGAAATGTATCAACATTAAAACGTGCTCCTAAAAGTGTTCCAAATTAGAACGCTTGGATTAAAAAAAGAGTCAATTTCAGTTGATTATTAATGCTTTAAACTATAATTAGCAAAAATATGTAATAATATCAAAACCATTATGTTGTGAAAATAAAATTAAAATAAATAAACCTCTGCACTTGGCTTCCTTGACAGAAGTAGCATTCCACAGACCTGACTCAAGGTGATCATTCAGTGAGAGGGAAACAATATTGCAATTCACCTCTCAGAAGAGAACGGATAACTCATTCTCTATTTAGTTTATTACATTGTAACAGTCTCTTCACCAGTCGGCCTTGGATAAAAACACTGACGCATTCACCATTCTGTAACTTTAATTTCCACAAAACTAAGCATTCAAATCTAAATGGTAGCCTACAAATAGTGCGTCTGCACAGCTCCTTTTCAATTCGACCATTATGAACAAGCAGTTCATGAAATAATGAAAGTTATAAAGAAGAACTCTCACCTGCCCTTCCAACTACACTGATCGCTGGAGTATTGAGAGAACGCTATCCGACACAGCAGGAGAACCGATAGAAAGTATGCCAAAATCGGTGTCAGCATGTTTAATCCCACAGCTGTTGCTCCGAGCGCAACACTTTCCTTCTTCTCAACTAAAACAACCAAATCCACCCGCGTAACTCCAACGACATAACGTCCCCATCGGTTCTGCTCGCTTGTTAAAGTGTCTTCGAGTGTTGTTATTTTTTTTTTCTTCCGGTAAAGGCCAGTAGAACAGCGAAAAAAGCACTACTTCACCTAGAACCATCCACTATATCGTAGGCTACAACCGACAGCGGCTGCTTGAATTCCTTTACTGGAACTTCAGTGAGTGAATTTCTCTGCTCTGATTTCTTCTCCACGTCACTCCCCTTCACCCAGCAGATCAGCACGCGTGCGCAATGCATTCTCGGCTAGATCTTGGAAGTATGTTTCAACGATTACAAAATCTCACCTAGGCTAGTATCTACTTACTAAGAACTTATAAATCATACATTAGAAAGTCTACAGTCGAACTAACTAACCCACAGTTGAAAGGTTGGGTAAGTTGACTGAGTGATCTGTGGTTCATTATCTCAAACTTTTCCTTTCCAAAAGTGCCCCCTCATTATTGCAATTCCTCTTGATATCTGTTGTCAGTCATTTGTTATGATGACATATGTGGGTACAACTATAATGTCCGTTACATTAGATAGGCTGTCATAAACATAGTCCTCTTGGGTAAGTTTTTCTTTGTAACAAGACATGAGTGTGTTATTCCATTGAACTACGCACACACACACGTACACGCACGTGCCCGTCCGCGCGCACACACACACAATCATATAAAAAATAAAAAAAACAGAAACCTGTTAGACAGGGGAAACTAGAGCTGTTTGAGACAGAGGAAACTAAAGCTGTTTGAGACAAGTACTTTTCATCTCTGATTTCTTTGTGTGTGTGTGTGTGTGTGTCCTCTATGCTATTACAGTATTTGTATTGGTCTTGGCTACATTGTTGCAGCATGTTGCCTAGACATACTGACTGGGCCCTAGCTGTTGTAATGTAACCATGATGCATGTTGGGACACGCTGTCTGAGAGTCAACCCCACCACAATGACACCTGTCTCCACAGCCACTGCTACACCTGTATGGCTTAAACAACTATTATGAATGTGTGAAACCGAGGGATAAAGAGTGAGAGACAGACATATATATATATATATATATATATATATATATATATATATATATATATATCAACGACTTGGCGAGGGCACTAGAACAGTCTGCAGCACCCGGCCTCACCCTACTACAATCTGAAGTCAAATGTCTACTGTTTGCTGATGATCTGGTGCTTCTGTTCCCAACTAAGGAGGGCCTACAGCAGCACCTAGATCTTCTGCACAGATTCTGTCAGACCTGGGCAGTGAATCTCAGTAAGACAAAAAATAATGGTGTTCCAAAAAAGGTCCAGTTGCTAGGATCACAAATACAAATTCCATCTAGACACCGTTGCCTTAGAGCACACAAAAAACTATACATACCTCGGCCTAAACATCAGCGCCACAGGTAACTTCCACAAAGCTGTGAACGATCTGAGAGACAAGGCAAGAAGGACTTTCTATGCCATCAAAAGGAACATAACATTCGACAAACCAATTAGGATCTGGCTAAAAATACTTGAATCAGTTATAGAACCCATTGCCCTTTATGATTGTGAGTTTTGGGGTCTGCTCACCAACCAAGAATTCACAAAATGGAACAAACACCAAATTGAGAAAAACATCCCTTGGTAAAACACCAAATAATGCATGCAGAGCAGAATTAGGCCGATACCCGCTCATTACCAAAATTCTGAAAAGAGCCGTTAAATTCTACAACCACCTAAAAGGAAGTGATTCCCAAACCTTCTATAACAAAGCCATCACCTACAGAGAGATTAACCTATAGAAGAGTCACCTAAGCAAGCTGGTCCTGGGGCTCTGCTCACAAACACAAACAGACCCCACAGAGCCCCAGCACAGCAACACAATTAGACCCAACCAAATCATGAGAAAACAAAAAGATAATTACTTGACACATTGGAAAGAATTAACAAAAAAACAGAGCAAACTAGAATGCTATTTGGCCCTAAACAGAGAGTACACAGTGGCAGAATACCTGACCACTGTGACTGACCCAAATTTAAGGCAATCTTTGACTATGTACAGACTCAGTGAGCATAGCCTTGCTATTGAGAAAGGTCGCCGTAGGCAGACCTTCCTCTCAAGAGAAGACAGGCTATGTGCACACTGCCCACAAATTGAGGTGGAAACTGAGCTGCACTTCCTAACCTCCTGCCAAATGTATGACATAATTAGAGACACATACTTCCCTCAGATTACGCAGACCCACAAAGAATTCGAAAACAAACCCAATTTTGATAAACTCCCTTATCTACTGGGTGAAAAACCACAGTGTGCCCATCACAGCAGCAATATTTATGACCTGTTGCCACAAGAAAAGGTCAACCAGTGAAGAACAAACACCATTGTAAACACAACCCATATTTATGTTTATTTATTTTCCCTTTGTACTTTAACTATTTGCACATTGTTACAACACTGTATATATACATAATATGACATTTGAAATGTCTTTATTCTTTTGGAACTTCTGAGTGTAATGTTTACTGTTAATATTTATTGTTTATTTCACTTTTGTGTACTATCTACTTCACTTGCTTTGGCAATGTTAACATACGTTTCCTATGCCAATAAAGCCCTTAAATTGAAATTGAATTGAGAGAGAGAGAGGGAGGGGAGAGGGAGAGAGAGATAAATAGAGAGAGAGAGAGATAAATCCCTTACAACCCATTATCTGTCCAATCCACCATACATTTTACAACTGTGGGCAATTTTTCCCTGTGACTTCCTCTCTAAATCTTTTATAAGGCCTAACTGCTTCACAACCTAAACACTTTTAAAGTTGTTGTTGTTTTAAAGTGGGATAGTAATTAGTTGTTTTAAAGTGGGATAGTAGTTAGTTGGTTTAAAGTGTGCCAGTAGTTAGTTGTTTTAAAGTGTGCCAGTAGTTAGTTGTTTTAAAGTGTGCCAGTAGTTAGTTGTTTTAAAGTGTGCCAGTAGTTAGTTGTTTTAAAGTGTGCCAGTAGTTAGTTGTTTTAAAGTGTGCCAGTAGTTAGTTGTTTTAAAGTGTGCCAGTAGTTAGTTGTTTTAAAGTGTGCCAGTAGTTAGTTGTTTTAAAGTGTGCCAGTAGTTAGTTGTTTTAAAGTGTGCCAGTAGTTTGTTGTTTTAAAGTGGGACAGTAGTTTGTTGTTTTAAAGTGGGACAGTAGTTTGTTGTTTTATAGTGTGCCAGTAGTTTGTTGTTTTAAAGTGGGACAGTAGTTTGTTGTTTTAAAGTGGGACAGTAGTTTGTTGTTTTATAGTGTGACAGTAGTTAGTTGTTTAAAGTGTGCCAGTAGTTAGTTGGTTTAAAGTGGGACAGTAGTTAGTTGTTTTAAAGTGGGACCGTCCTCCTCTTGTCTTGTTATTCCAGTTGTGTTATCTCTAGTCAGTTCCCTGTGTTTTGTTTTTTTATTTTCCCTGTGACTGACTGACTGACTGATTGACTGACTGACTGCAGCTGAAAGGAAAGCAGGTTTTCTCCTAAACCTCACCTGTCACATATCTTAATCAGGGAGAAGAAGAGAGAGAGGAGGAGAGAGACGGAGGGGAGAGAGAGGGAAGTAGGGGGAGAGAGAGGGAAGGAGGGGGAGAGAGAGGGAAGGAGAGGGGGGAGAGAGGGAAGGAGGGGGAGAGAGGGAAGGAGGGGGAGAGAGAGGGAAGGAAGGGGGGAGAGAGGGAAGGAGGGGGAGATAGGGAAGGAGGGGGAGATAGGGAAGGAGGGGGAGAGAGAGACGGTTAGGAGGGAAGGAGGGGGAGAATGGGGCAAGAGAGAGTGAAAAACAAAAACCAAGAAGAATAAGTACGCACAGAAAGAGAAAACTAGTTAATGACTACCTGTTGGTGGTTGTAGACTGAAACTTGGCAGAGCAGCACAGACTTTCTATTGAGTAGTGATGAGGTATGCATGAGAAGGTAGGCATGTTTGGTAAATATGATGTAGCCTGGACAGGACAGGGGAAGAGAATGTAGTACTGACTAGCTGTGAGGAGGGGGAGGGAGGGGGAACAGATCAGTTTTAGGGAGGTGTGAGAGAGAGAAAGAGGAAAGAGAGGAAGGAAAGAGAGGGGGAGAGAGAGGGGGGGGAGAGAGAGGGGAGTAGATAAAGAGAGCGAGAGAGAGGGGGAGAGAGAGAGAGAGTGAGAGAGAGAGAGGGGGAGAGAGAGAGAGAGCGAGAGAGGGGGGAGAGAGAGAGAGAGTGAGAGAGGGGAGTAGATAAAGAGAGCGAGAGAGAGGGGGAGAGAGAGAGAGGGGGGAGAGAGGGGGGGGGGGGGGGGTAGAAAAAGGGAGAGAGAGAGAGGAGGAGAGAGAGAGTGTAGAGGTTGTTATTTCAGAGTAGCTGTTATTGTCCTGAATGATGTGTCTGTCTCCTGCTGTGAGTCCGTGAGGGAGTAACTGTGCCCACAGTCAGCCCCAAGCTGAGAAAGCACCAGTAAACGGGATTGCACTGCTGGCAGGATGTGACTGTGTGTGTGTGTGTTGTGTGCTCTGTCATCGCCTGTCCTCAAACACCTCAAAGTTATTAGAAGAAGTAGCTTTTCTGGTTTCTCCCGGACCGTTCACTGTATGTTGTGAAATTAGAAAACAGGCGTGTGTGTGTGTGTCTGTGTGTGTGTGTCTGTGTCTGTGTGTGTGTGTGTCTCTGTGTGTGTGTGTGTGTCTACATGTGTGTGTCTGTTTGTCTGTGTGTGTGTGTCTGTGTCTGTGTGTGTGTGTGTGTGTGTGTGTGTGTGTGTGTGTCTGTATGTGTGTGTGTCTGTGTGTGTGTGTGTCTGTGTGTGTGTGTGTCTGTGTGTGTGTGTGTGTGTGTGTGTGTGTGTGTGTGTGTGTGTGTGTGAGAAAGAAGGACTAGAAAGTATTCACACTCCTTGGCCTACACACAATACCCCATAATGTCAAAATAGAATGATGTATTTAG